AGTTATTTTAGCATCTAATATTTCATTGATTTCATACTCATATTCTTCATTGATAATTACAGATGGTGGTAAATCAACCACTTTTCTGGAGAACATATTTGCTGTGTGTAGTTTCAATAGAGATACATAGAAGGTGTTATTGATTTTGAATGTGAGAGGTAAAGTTAAATAGAATGCTACTGGGTTAATCTTTTCTTAAATTGTAAATGGGCCCAGCTTTTGATAGTCCAGTTTCTCTGATGGCTGTTTAGTATGAATATTGGGCATAATAACTATACCTTGTCACCAATTTTGAAATTAAAACCCTTATGTAAAAACAGTCTGCATTCTTTTTGTAATACTCTTGTGCGATCTTTAGTTTATCAGTAAGAGTCTCTTTTATTTGTTGTAATTGGGTTGCTTTGTTTTTGACAGATGGAACTGAAGAATAAAAGGGTACTTGGAGATTGAAGTGTAAGTGAAAACTGTAATTGGCAAAAAAAGGTGAGGTTTTCATAGAAGCATGGATTGAATTATTGTATGTAAATTTTGCTAATAAGAGTAAGTCTACCCAATTGTCTTGATAATAATTTATTATATACCTGAGATACTGCTCTAACACTTGGTTGACTCTCTCACTTTAACCATTTGACTGAGGGTAATAAGCTAATGATAAATTAGCTTGAGTGCCTAGTGTCTCAAGTAAATTCTTCCAGAATTTAGAGGCAAATAAAGGACTCTTATTAGAGATAATCTCTTCTGGAACACCATGTAATCAAATTACTTCTCTAAAAATTATTTGTACTGTTTGTTCAGCACTAATGCTCTTATTATATACTATAGAAGTTTCAAGGCTTTAGCCTGAAAACTCAAAGTTTTATACTACAAAATGTCTCTTGGTTTCTTTAAACCATACTTTTGCTTATTTCTTGAAAACTGTCTTCACAACAACCCCTGGACCTTAAGAGGAAGTTGTAGAGCTCATCATTTCGGTCGAAACAAGCTCTAAATGAAGATTTTTAACCTAATATTGACCGAGTTATAACAAAAATAATCTTTACTCCTTT